TAAATTGAATTTGATTGGAAAGTTCTAAATCCTGAAGAATATGACATAGTTAGGGTTAGTAAAATTATGACAAATTAAATGATGAAGAAGTAACGCTACTTTACATGCCCCAGGTGAAAAGCGGACCATCGGAGGCGGCGGTAGTTGTGTGCTCATAGCCAAAAGCAATATCAAGCACCGAGATTTCCATCGTGGGACAACAAAAAAGCTCCAGTGGAAGCTGTCTTGGGATCCTCAAGTTGTGCTCTTTACCCATCCGACCCCATTTGACCCAATTGTTTATATCCCCATTAAGCTTTTTGTGGGGGACATTTTCCCGTTGTGAATCCCCAAATATCTCGTCGATCTCCATATTTCTTCATTACTTATTATCAATTCCATACATCCAAGAAGGAATCACAAAACCAATGTAGGAAATTGATAATTTAACTATGGCTGGAATCAATTTGGGGAATGAGAAATGAGAAATTAGTAAAGTTAATTGTTACCTGCGGAAAAATTGAGCCCACGAACAATTAAATCGAGATGGGTCTTGGACATATATTTGGAAACTGAGTTTTTTTATAGCATTCATTACTTCAGTTTTGCGATCTCCATCTATTAATTGCCCGAAGAAAAAGCGATAGTGACGTTCGGTGTTGGATGTATGATGGAGAAAACTGTCGTAAAGTTTTAGTTGCACAACCATTGTTCAGAGGTGGTGGCGACATCGACGAAGGGAATTTGAAGCAGTGATTGTTGGTGTTGGGCAGACTAAAAGGTAATGGTTTGCTTTGCTTTTGTTTGTACCATATAAGAAAGAGAAATAGAGGTTGTGGTTGCAAGAAAGCAAATCAATAAAGTGGCGTACTTACAGAAAAGATATTTATTGGTGAACATTGTTGAACGAGTTTATGAATAGCACATAGCTAGTTAAGTGTGAAAAGGGGAGTGCACAAATGAACAGTGACTTGCCATATCCTCTCTTTTAAGAGAGCAGTGATATCTCATTTCCTGTCATGTTTCTCAATTTACTTTTGATAAATTAGATCTAGGCTCCCAACCTTTCAAGTGGTGTAGTTATGACTTCCCAACATATTTTGAATATTTCACATTTTTGGGTCCCCAATTGTTAATTTGGACATTTAAATTGCATGCTGCTTTTAGCAAATTAGAGATAAATATCAAGTGTTGTGACGGTTTGTCCCCTAACTATGAGTAATTTGAATGTTGCATAAACTTAGAAATCTGGATTCTCAATTTAAATAGGTTGCGAATCCAAAACCTCACTTTAAGGTTGAAACCCTGTAATCACATCTTGAGAAATGTTGACTTACTTATTTCATTAACCTTATTCTTTCATTTTCACATGCAGTTTAAATTTAAAAACATAGAAATAACATAAAAAAATAAGAGTATAGTGGATCAATATAACAAGGCAATACAGGATATTTAGCATTCAGTTGAAAAAACTATCGGAGTCGATGGAGTTGATTTGAAGCATGTTTAATTAATCAACCACAGGGAGTTCCTTCTTTATTTTCCTATTTCCTCGTGTAATTTGATAACTTTACCGTTTGACATTGGAGGAAGATTATGTTGAGAGAATTATTGAGATCAACAATGAACCATCGATCAGTGAGTATTTGAATGCTAATGAAATTCATGAGTTAGTAGTAAGTGGTACATTTTGAGACTGCACAACTTAACTAGGATTTTTCAGGCAGAAAATTGCATTACAGCTCAGAACTCAACTTGATACTTTTCCTATATATCCTGAATTAATGAAAAAAGAAAGTTTTATACACAAATAACGGCGAGCTTTTGATATACACATTTCAGGAGGCACCAGAAAACTGTGCAGCTTTCATGACAAGTTCTTCAGTGGTCGTGCCAATTATCTCATTTGCGCGCTTGAGACCGACGCAGAAATACCTTCCAATTGAATCCTGAATTCACAATTTACAACCAAGTCAAACTACCTGAATACAAAGAGTGTTTTTACCACGAAGTTTCCACGTGGAAATAGACGCCTATGTTTATAAGTCACTTTTTATCCACATTTGAGGAAGCCATAAGTGCAACCCACTTAGTTACCACTCGTTTCTATCTATTTCTAATTTAAACTGTTTATATTATTATACACACTCCCCTACATGCTTTCATCATCCAACAAATAGACTAATCATGAAAAAGAACTGGTTCGACTAGGCTCTCCCAACCTATCTTTAAGTATTAAGTGGACCTACATATCGAATATATGTATTAAATAGACATTACTTTATTGACAAGCAAAAGAGGGTGGAAACTAAATAGATAGAGGGATTCTCACCCGAGAAACGATGCCTAATTTCTCTAATTTATAGACAGCATCATCAACATCAAAGTTGCACTGTTCACCGAACTCATCCTGTATTAGATCCTCACATCGATGGTCAAGATCCTGTTTACATGATCAGAGTGTCGGATCAAATATTACTTTCAGTAAATATAAACATGTCGAATCCAAGATCAAGCAATCACCGGTGCGTTACAACTACCACTTCTGCATACCTCTCTAGTAGCCTTCCCCTGCTCCATTAATATAAAGAACGAAATTATCACCTCCTTTACCTGCATATTTGCAATATTCAACTTAAACACCTGACACTATATACTTTGGATAGGTAAATAAAATTCAAGAGACATGCCATTGCAAATAGAACAAGAGAAAAATAAATGGGAATTATATAATAAGATACATAATTTTCAGAATCACATGAGTACACTAGCCAGAGATTTAGGGCTAATTCTTTGGGGAAAAAAATATTACATTTTCACGTAGTTATTGAATTCATTTACAATAACAAGCTCTCAAGTCATGCAAACTAAAATAATTAAAGTTTGGATATTTTACCTATTACAAATACAAGGTAAACATTTTTGGTTTTAATTTGAAAAATGAAAAGTTAATGATCAAATGCTACAACTTACTTCTTGTTGAATTACATCATCACACAAGTGAAGAAGAGTGCCACGTCCACTATCTAATTGTTTGTCATACATTGACTGGGTGATCAGGTTCTGATATGTAGCCATGTTCTGTTGAAACCTGCAGGAAATTAAACAAAGCTTTGGTCTAAACCAACAAGAAAACCGGTCTCAGGACTTTTTTCTTTGGAATAATATACTGAGATGCGTCAAAGTCTAGTGAAATAAAACACTTAACGTGAAGTATGTCTTAGCAATATAACCAATCACTGTGGAGAGAACAGCAAACATGACCCAGATATCAGCTTTAGGCTTTTCAACCGAACCTATAACAGCTAACTGCAAGAGTCCACAGTTGAAGCATGTGACAAAATTGTTTTACGAAAAGAAGTCTAGTAAAGATAATTAGTGGATACTACGTAACTGACCAGTCCAACTACAGCAGAGATAAGAAATTTGACCCAGTCCATAGGAGTTAAACTTGGATTTTTTTTCTCTGGCTATATAAAGGAAATAAAGTGGTTAAAAATGTTTTAGTACCATAGCAAATCTAAACTTATATAAGGAATATAATTAGAGTAATGCTAAAGAAAAATAAAAAGTTTAAAGGAATAGGCAAGTACTAGCGCACAGGGAATTAAAAACAAAAAAAGAGGTCGTCAAAGAAAAGGGACAAGTTGATTAAACTCACAAGGACAATTTCCATATCAGCCATCGGGATGTTTTTGAAATGCTTCACATATATCCCACGTTCAGCTTTTGTTCGGGAACTTGCTCGCCTGCATAGCAACCAAAAAGAGACAAGAATTTAAAAGATCAATAATAAGACTAGGAGTTTAAGCTATCATTAGCAATTGATCTACTACCAGCATTCGAAAAACATCTGTTTATACCAAATAAACAGTTGCAATAAAAAATTCAAGTGTAAAAGAATAAAGAAGTCGGAATGGATACCTGTAAACAACAATTATCCTATCAAAGGTAGGTTCTTGAATAGTGATTTTGCTCAGCAGATTGCTTAGACTGAATCAAGACAAAATAAAAACAATTAAAAATGAAAATACTTGTCAAGAACTTGAAACAGGCAACACTTGCAAGTGCCAATTATACGTTGTCCATAAGGATTTGAGTCACACATTTTAAAGTTATCTCAGCATATAGACTAATCCATGCATGACTCGTATCTGAGTTATACTACATTCCCTTCCCCATGAGCATCCATAACACAGAACAGTTTGCAAATTAATGCTTGTGGTCAGAAAATCTAGCTATTGTGGGAACCCACCCAGTAACCACACATCCTAGTCAATACTTGCATCCATTAGATTTCACGCAAACTTAGAGCAAGTGCAGTTCTATAGAGTAATCTAAGCTAACAAAATAAGATCTGGAATATATTAATAAAGTTCTTATTTTTTTTTTATCTAGAACATTTAGACAGGTTCAATGCACTAACAAACGTGCTACATATATTTCAGGACTGTTTAGTTATTATGCAAATCAAGTTGCACATTTCAGAATTTAAAAGATGTTGATAAGGAAAGGTCATCTCTTGAAATTTATTCAAACCCCAAGCGAGCAACTCAAGAATGAAAATGAGAATCATTAGAATCACAATTTAAAACCTCAGATCCATTTTCTCAAGACGAACACGTTCAGCATATAGTTCATCTTGTTCAGCCTCAGCAGTGATTTCATCGTCTTTTTTTGGATCCTTTTTATGCAGTGAACTTGATCTACTAGACAATACCCTTTCTAACCTGCAAGTAATAAAAGACCGCTACATAGAAACTACACCACAGGTGCGCATGAAAGTATGGCATCCGAGGCAAGAAAAAAAAATTCATAAATTCAGAACAGATACATTTGATATTGACTGCCCTGGACTCGAGCAACTCAATTGTTTATCATAAACAAAGTCACCCACCTGGTCTTTCTCAAAATCCACGCCCACAAACGTGCAATGATCACATCCACTTTCTCCAGGAAAAAGTAATCAGTTGTCTTATCAATACCAATTCCACGTCGGAAGATAACATACTAGAGAAAAAACATTAGACAAAATGGAAAATCAAATTCAAATTGATACATTTACCATTAGAACCAAAACAAACTGGAATTGATTTAAGATAAATATGTGATCTTGCGATACCACTAATTTGAGGGAAAAAAAATGCTGACATAAGATTAACACACATCAGCAGGAAGGTAAATAAATGGCAGGTGGCACGATGATCAGTATATTGTAACATCATATTCTATTCCAGAAGTTCATTCAATCAAACGGTGAATAAATACTCCAATCAAAACATTCCAGAGAGCAGCACCTCTCTCTCCACCTCCCACCAACAGAAAACAGACGTAACATAATATCAAGGACCGCAACTTTACTTGCTCCTTGACCCAATCACAGCCACAGTTTGCCCAACTTCAGTCGCACATTGTAAATATTAGTTCAATTTGAGTTGTAATTTCTTTTCCTTTGTAATAGTTTATTTCAATTGTAAAATAGCTCTGATATTAATAAAGTTTTAGTATGATTCCTCGTCATTTAAACGTCTACTCCTATCACTTAGATTTTTGTTCCGCAAACTATTATAGGGGTATTAGTCATTCAAAAATCTTTTAAGCTTACTGGTGTTTGCCTCCTGCACCAGCCATTGTAATTTTCTACTTTCATCAATTATAATATTCACAGTTAATTTGAGAGAAAAAAATATTGTATATATTGATTTAGAAAC